GCTGGAGGAGCTCATTGGTTTTCTGGGGTGATGCAGTATTTTTAGCAGAAGCTGCGTTAATTTCAAAAACCGCTGACTTGTAGGTTCATTTTAATTACGAAAGTTAACAACATGCTTTATATGCGGCGTAAGGAAGATGAACGATAAGGAAGATAACGCAGATTGTTAGGGACCACCACTTGTGTACACAAGAAACGAGTCGCAAATCGCAATATTTTAAATTTTGTAGCTATTACGTGAATTAAATTAATGTACGAGCAGATGGCATTGTATAAATACGAAATTCTATTTAAAAGTCAGATACAGTCGTTCTGGAAAAATGTATTTCTCGCAAGCCCTATAAGATAAGCTTTTTTTGTTAGGTAAAGTTTCCATTTGAAGTGGAACTATTCGCACATTGTCTGCAATTTCTTGTTTCTATTCAATAACAAACCCAAACCCAGAAATATAGAATCCATATCAGTTATTGCAAATTACACAAAGAATATATATTTTTCGCTGTACCAATTTTTGTTTACACAGGATATTTCACGTAGGAATCGGTCTCTTTTCTGGAGTTTCTCGAAGTTAAACCAAAAAAAGACTAGCAATGTTGAACAAAAAAAAAATTGCAATAACTTATTATCCGTCAGTAATGTTTTTCATCGCATGTTTCTATTCATCATCATCACGATAATATATGGCTATCAAACCAATAATACTGAAGACAAGAGTGTAGATCCTTTGTTTATCGATATTTGACGATTCGGGAAAATCGCCATGTTTCTATTAAGGTATTCAATTCGAATTTAACAGCGGTCCCAACAGGATTCCGACAATATTCCTACTAGGTCATTCCGCAGCCGGAAAAGACTTCAAGGCTGTAACCGATTTTCATAAGCGAAATTCCGGTGGCATCGATTTCGCTGAGGTGATTTAGGGCCTCCCGCTTTCGCCTTCCCTCGCAACAGGCCGGAGACGAGGATTTCAGGGTCTTCCTCGCTCTGCCCCTCGCACCGTCTCCCCCCCTCCGCTCTCAGCCGTCGCTTCCACCTCCACTCCCACACCACCCTCACCGTCCACACCACCCTCACCGTCCACACCACCCTCACCGTCCA